AACACTTAGATGTTTGCACATGCGTCTCTAATCTCTATGTATCTGATTATTCCTACTCACTCAGATCCTTGGCACCTGAGTGTGGATATAAAGTCATCAGGTAGATTTCAATGGTAATGTTTATCACCTCTGTTAATTAACATGAAGTAAATTTTATGCTTCGCTCCTCAAATATGTCTTATTTTTTAAAATTTGTTGATTTTTTGTGTGTGTGTGTGTGTGTGTGTGTGTGTGTATCATACAGAACATCCCAAATTTTCTTACTCGTCTATATACCCACTTCCCAAATGGCACCCTCCCATTGTGCTCCCTCCACTGGAGCCCATATGCTCTATCATCCCTGTTACTGTCCCCTGTGTTGTTGGCACCCACAGCCATTCCCAAGTGTTTGTGATGACATAATTTTTTAAATTCTATAGAAAAGCATAAATTTTTATGTCTGTCAAGCTTGCTTGTGGCTAAAAGAGTTTTGTAAAATATTAACTACACGCAATAATTTATTTATTGACACAAAAGAAAAACTGGAATAATCTTAAAATCAGATATTTGAAAAACACAAAAATCCGCATTGAGATATCAACATTTTTAGTATTAAACGGATCACAAACTCTAATTATGTTTTATTTCAATCACCCTCAATATAAATTGAAAATCTTTTATAGGAATGTTATTTAAATTTTGGAAGACTTAATTTTTACATATTAAATTAAGAATTTATTGGGATAGAGAGATGGCTTGGAGGTTTGGAGCACTGGCTGGGTTTGGTTCCCAGCACCCATGTAGTTACTAATAACCATCCCTTACTCTAGTTCCAGGGGATCCAATACCCTCTTCTCACCTCTGTGTGTACTACATGCACTTACACACGAACAGGCAAAACTCCTACACATGAAAAAAATTTAAATTATAATTTTTTGATACTAGAAGAATAATTTGTAACTGACAAGATGAAATATATCTTATATTAACTCAAAGCTGTGTTTATAATTTCCAGCTGGCATTGCATT